GCCCCCCCCCCCCCCCCACCTACCCCATGCCACTTCTGGTGTTGGAGTGGCTGTAACTTGAGGTGTGGTGCTGTTCCCACATGTAGATTCAGCATGACTGCACTTGTCTGCTAAATGCTGTGATGAGCCACGCCTGAAACACTGTTTTTCTCCCATTTATTGGCTTTGAACCAGCTTGCTTTTGGCTTCCTTGGTGAGGGGAAGGTCTCCTGTGAACGGCATTTACAGCTAGCATCCCTGCACTGGAAGTACCAGTGTTTTACTGTAGTTGCTTAGATTCTTTCTCGGCCAATTCATTTGCCTGAGCTGCCTTGAGGGCTTGATCGAACGTCCTGTCTTCGGAAAGTAGTTTCTTCTTTGTAGTTTGACTTGCATTTGCCACGCCGCCCTGACAGTTTACTGCCAAGAGGGTGTCCACAATAGGTTAGGCGGGATGCGGGATTTGGCTATTTTTTGTGGTGATACTCGGGATGCGAGCTAAAAAAAAAGGAGCGGGAAGCGGGAATTTTTATAATAAGCGCGAGCGGGATTTCCTATTTTTATTGGGTTGGGATGCGGGAATCGTAAGGGAAAGTAGCGGAAAACGGGAATTAAGTTTTGTGGTGACTACATTTTGACTCTTTTGTGTAAACCACAGTTTGTACTAGTCGCCACGTAAATGAAGCCTGCTAAATTTATCCATTATCACCTTGGCGTGTCTTCGTCTTATTTCGGTACTTGGTAAAGACGGCGTGCGCGAACGGTCAAAGAAGACGTCTGGAGTGAGGCCAAGAAACTAATAATTAGACTAGTTAGAGAGGCAAAAAATACGCGGTTAATTTCATACAGTCTTCGCCCGTACTTAGCACCTTTTAAAATCGATTGTGAGGAAAAAAGACTGTTTTGCAAACTATTGCAGGTCACACGGATCTATTTTTGTGCGGATTTAAGAACAGAAGAGAATAAAGAGATTTTAAACAGGAATCGAGGACGAAGTCCAAGAAGGACAGGAAGGGCGGTGGAAAACAAACGTTCTGCATGGGGGTTGTTTGCATTTGGTTGTGCTGTTCGAGTTCATTCTAGGTTTATGTTTCCATATAAAAGAGAACATTTTATCAATCTGTGCAACCAGTGTGTTCATACACATTTTCCATGACCCGTAGACAATTGGCTTCATCGCCTAATGGAGTCTACAAGTAAAGCAATCGAAACATCCATCTACCCTACTCAGCTGGCTGTTTCCAAATGGCCAGAACTCAGATCGAAGTAAACCTTCTTTTTTGTACTGGTGGCTCAGAAATAAATAAATAAATAAATAAATAAATAAGCAAAACAGAAAATAAAGTTACAGTTGTTAATGGCTAAGTCAAGAACCTTGAACATCAAAGCTCCCTATTGCAAGAAGGTTATTCTTAAACATTGTACAATGAAAGCAAGAAACTTGTAAAAAAAAAAAAAAAAAAAATTGGGCGGGATCAGGAATCGAACGTACAAAATGGCGGGGTAGCAGGACTAGGAGGAAAAGACAAACGGGAAGGCGGGATTTGAGAACCCCATTGCTGACCCTGTGCCAAGCGTTCTAGCTTGTTTGCATACGTTACGCTTTGAGTTTCGTTCTGAACGGTGTGATGAAAACGGTAAGTCTCTTTAACTTCAAGGACTTTAGGTTTGTAGTAGCCTTTCAAAATTTATGTAAGCTGATCATAAGTTTTATCAGCAGATAAATCGGGAAGACAAAGATTTTTTAAGCGTAATATTAGCTGTTTAAACGATCGCACGAACTACACATGCGCAAAGTACGGGATTTAACAGTGTTTAAACAAGAAAAGGTTCAACATCCAGGATGTGGTTTGGGATCAGTATAACCCAACCCGCTTCTTTTTGGGAGGCAATCACGGCCATTGTCGTATCGTTTTAGGATACCAATAAAGGAGGCGATGTGACGTTACGGCAAACAGTCTTGAACGCCATCTAACTCGAGACGGTATTCGTGAAGTAAAAACCAAATTGTACGGCATGAGCTTCAAACAAATACATCCCGCCCTTTTTCCTTAGCTCAGTAGAACTTCCACATATTTGACATTCATCTAAATATATATTCTGTATGGCCAAATATCACAGTTCGGAAATGCTTGGAATTACCCTTATACTCACTTTATCTCGCAAGTATTAAATTTCGTGATTCTCGCGAAATTTAAAACTCCTGAAATGTAATACTCGCTAAGATTAAAATCGCGAAATTGACCAAACAAATACATATCCATATTTAAGCTGCTGCTAAATTGTTCAAAATCTCGCCTTTGCTGCTGGAGTTGTCAAACCGTTCTTTGTTATTGCCTTTGTTTGCTGTTATTTACGATAACATTATTAATTCTGTCGTTAGTGTTCTGAGGTCAGGTTACCTTTACAAATGAAAATCGCTAAATTAAATACACTCCAATTCTACCTTTCTCAAGGGATCGCGAAATTAAATACTCGCGAAATATGGCTCATGATAATACTCGCGAAATTAAGTGAGAATAAGGTAATTGTTCGATAACTGACATAAGTGTTAAAACTTGTTTAAGAGAACACATTGATCTTATGTTCCAAATGCTACTATATTATTTATTATTTGCCTACCTGCAAAAATCCTGGAAAAATAGAACCATTTGAGGAGAGGAAGACAACAGTAATCGACTTAGAAATTCCTAAAGAAACAGTTAATGAAACAAAAATAGATCAGCTACTTCCGAAACCCATCAAAAGAAATTTTTTTTATAGTCATAAATTATTATTTATAACAAAAAACGACAACAACAAAATGATGTAAAAATGTTCATAAAAGAGAAGGAACAAATGATAGAAAAGAATTAAGACTGAGGAGGAAGACTAAACCAACAAATTAGCATCGTGGTAGCATGGCGATGACGAGGTCTTTCCGGGTGGCTAGTCAACCGTTTAAATATCTAAGATCTTCAAGTAATTAACTTTAGAATAAATTGACTATAGACTTTTACATTTGTCACTATCGCCACATAAGGTGTTTAAAGCTTCATACATTTAGAACCTTTTCACAGGAAAGGTTTAAAGTAGACTGCTAGCAATCGTTGGTCTTTTCTGTCTCGAGGCCTGCTTGGGAGGACTCCGGTTAGCGAATTGGGAAAGTTAACAGAGAGTAACATAAACGGGAGCTGGAGAAAGTGTGAACTCACCTCCAATCGCTCGTACGTAACATTCAGGCTTGCGACACAAGAAGTCTAAATTGAAAAAGAACCACACAGTTTGAAGTAACACGTCGCGGCCAGGTCCTATGACACAACCACCTTTGACCGCGAGTTGTTGTCCTTAAAACATATTGGCTGCTAGAAACTTGATCTCGTGAATTGACGTCTTCAGCGATTCTTTCCCATGCAGCAATACAATTATAAAGAAACGAGTGAAAACTAAAAGGAATCTGCTTTCGAGCAAACTTTCGCTCCATACAAAAACCGAAATCTTTTTATCATTGTTATCATAATGATAAAAAATCTACACCAGTACGACACTTTACATGATCTAGCGAATGTAATAAAGTCTTAGAATACAAAAATCACGAACAGCGCTTGTATGACTGTTTGCACTGACATCTTTAAACAAGCACATTTCTCAACACGGCTTACTTCGAGAGTGAAGGCTGAGAATCAGGTGTTAAAGCTATTCTTAAAATCTTATATAAGCTTGTATAGAATTCGAAAGATTAAAACACCTAGCAAAACCAAAACATCAGTTTGTTTGAGGTCGCCCAGGAAATAAGCGAGCTTCAACCAAGATAATTTGCTTTCTAGAATACTTCTACGTTTGGCATTCAAGGAAGCGAAAGCAGGCGACATAATCTATTATTCAGTAAATGTAGAAGCGATTTTAACGAAATACGTAAAACTATAAAATTGACTGAACTTACCGCATGCGTTGCTATCGTCATGGCCTTATTACATTATGATAAGTGATAAGCTAACAGCTGAAACTTACCAAGGAGTACACTGCCACGTAGAGAGTAAAAATTGTCGAAGAATCTTTAAAGAAGTAAAGTTCAGAGGCTGTAAACTAGAAAATGTAGAATGGAACACTGAGCGGTGCTACGCGTTAATGATTAAGGGAATTCGATATTATGCACAAGGAAATAGTAATTACACAATACCCTAATTTGTCACACAATAGTTTATAAATGATCACGCATGCACGCGGCGCAGGTTAACGTCA